GTGACCCTTACAACATCACAATTGGGTGTTTGATATTTACTTGGCCTGTGGTTTGAATGTTTGGAGCAGAGAAGCTTTTAGGTAAATTCTAACTTAAATTTGCTTTTTCTAAAATAGTGCTGTTTCTGGATAGCTTTTTTATGTTGCTTCTCTTTTAAGTCTCATTTTCTTCTTCAATAGTTAACAGACACTTATTGAGGACTTACTATGTATAAGTTCTGACCCCTGCACACAAAGGACTTCTGGTCTACTGGGTGAGAAAATACATACACACCACACTAACCCAGTACAAACAAGGTGAGCGCCATCTTACAGGGACGGATGAGTGCTAGGGGAGAACAAAGCCTGGGCAAGATGCAGGTTGGGCCATGGAGCTAAAGGCATCTAATTACATGTGTTTCTAATGGAAAAAAATAAATCACTTCTGTTCATAATTGATATTTCAAGCAGACACTATACGGGAGTCAATTTGTGTGTGAAGAAAAAAGACATGAAAAAGTCACTTTTCTGATCTCCCAAGCTAGAAAAATGAAAATTCTGCGTGATTCTTCTCGCTTTCTCATCCAACCTGTCATTCAGACCTAATAGTTCCTCCTTCCAAATGTCTCACAAATTTTCTTTCCTCTCTGTTCCTCATCGCCTCAACGTCCCCTCCCCCGTTCTAATCCAAACCCTCATCATTTTACATCCGGATTACCAAGGGTGGTCTCTCCTTGCTTCTGGTCTCTCAGCTCTCTCTTGTTTCCATGCTAATACCAGGCTTACCTCTCTCTCTTGAGACAACCCCTCTCCCTCTCCCCCGAACCTTTCACCCCAAGGCTAATTCAGCTTTTCTGCTTGCCCTTTAGGTCCTTTCTAACCTGGTCTCAGCCTCTCAAACCATCCTTATTTCTCTTCCTAGTGCCCCCATCAAACGGTTTCTCCTGACCCCAAGCTCCTGCCTCCCCCCTTCCACAAGGCCTCTGCCTCTCTCCAAGCCTCAATTCAAGGCTCTCTGTTCCAGGACAACTGTCCAGCCACCCCATTCCGCAGCGATGTCCACACTTGGCAAGAACTTTAAAAACTTTCATGGAGGCTTGTTTTCTAACTGCTGGAATTCCTAGGGCACTGCTGGGCAGAGAGGAGGCACTAAATAAAAACGTGTTAATTGAATCGGGAAGAAAATAAAAGAATTTTAAAAATAGAAAATGATCCCCAAACCCAAGGATGTTAGATAACTGAGTTGAACTTCCTCCCTCATAATCCGCGAGTGTCATTCGCTGACCGAGCACTTAAGCTGTTTTCCCTCAACCATGTTCATTTGACAGTAACATCCCCGTGAGAAGCCACTTGAACAACCCCTTCAAAGTGTTACACATGAAATTATTATTGGCTTATGATTATGAAGGAAGTGAAGTCATTTATATGGTTCAACCCTGAAGTTACAAAAGGATATAAGTGAAAAGTCTTCCCACCCTGCCTGCTAGACACCTCGCTCTCCTCCTGGGGGTAGCCAGGGTTACCCTAATCCTATGTATCCATCTAGAGATATTCTGTAAATAAGTAAGCAATTGCACATCTGTACCTTTTCTCCTCTTGTTACCTGGAAAGTGGCATATTATAAATACCTTTTCTTCTGAAGGTAATTCTTACTAAAATACATAAAGTAAAATTTACAAAAGGAAGTTCTGTACTGAAAAGATGCTCCATTAAACGGAAGGAAGTTGTGATTTGCGTGGTGCAGTGACTAAAATTTTTCAGGAGTTAAGAAATTAATCTGCTTTCACAGCTTGGTGAGTATCCACTGTACCTCACTATGTAAGTTACCATCCTCTGCAAAAATCTAAATTGAATGACTGTCCCACCCTATAGAGATAATGATGCCTGGTAGAGGGAGTCGTGGGAGCTACAGCCAGAAAGGTGAAATCCCCTTTGGTCTCTGAACCCTCACTAGGTGCTCTGCCTACCACACTCAACACCACCTCAGGTACAGTACAGCACTTTTTCAGCTGATAAGGGTGAGAATTTAGAGGCCAAAGTCCCCTAGACTTCAGAGGAATGACGGCGTTGGCAATATATCTACTCAAATGGACTTGAAAATGGAGAAAAGTATGTCAGACTCAGTAGCATAAGTGACTGCCATGAGTGTAATTCCCAGCACTTAGGGTGTCTCACCCAAGTGCAGCCATGCCATGTGCTACCCGCGATTGAAAAGACTTGTCCATTCACCCCATATTTATTGGAATACAGGTGCTGCAAAGAGAAAGGCAAATCAGATACATAGCCTGGTCCTCAAAGACGCACCATGGGGAAAAAAAGATGAATCTCTAACTCTAGTCACGTTACTGGTACATTTACTAATGGGTATATATTCTGCGTGGAGTGGAGACGCCTAGTTTAACACTGAGATCAGCTTCTGGCTGAGTCTGGAAGGACAAAAGTTCACTAAGCATCCAAAGGAAATAAGAGAAAAGCATTCCAGGCTGAAGGAGCCACCCCCAACGCATACTTGCAGAGGATGTGCAACCTCCAGCGGGAATGCTGCCTGAGAGGAGAGGAGGCTGGAGAGGCCAGGGGCCAGTGTCAGAGGACGCAGGCTCCACGGAGTGGGGATTCGTACTCAGACCTCGATGGCTTCAGAACCACGCTCTTTTCAGCCGTCTCTCTCGGGAGACAGCCCAGAGCTCTCCTAGGCGGCACTGTGGTTTGTTGCCATCTAGTCTTCACTCTATCCCCTGAGCAAAATATGTCATTCCTCCTGAACCGCAGCGCCCTTCCCTGTTGGAAAAGAATTCTCATGGTTCAGCTTAGTCTTTTTCAAGCCGAATGCCCCTTTATTGGTTTCTCTCAGGACACCATCTTGAGCATCTTTCTCTTGATGAGATACAGTTGTGAAGCTGCTTCTTCGAAGAAGCACCGGACCACCAGCTGCTCCGCTGTGATCCAGACTCCTGACTCCTCAGATCTAAATATGCGATTTCTGTAGCAGCCTGCAAGTCCCTTTCCCAATACTTTTAAATGGATTGTATCCAAAGCTAACTCTTTCTTGAATACATTTTAATACAAATTTCCCCATTCCAAATACATTTTATTTTTTTAAATTTATCTTTATTGTTGAAGGTATTACAGATGTCCCCCCTTTTTTCCCCCATTGACCCCCCTTCACCTCACACCTGCCCCTCCCAGGCCTTCACCACACTATTGTCTGTATTCTGGCTATGCATATATGCACATAAATTCCCAAATTAATCCCCCCCCCCGCCCCCACCTCTAGCCTTCCCTCTGAGATTCTTCTGTTCCATGCTTCGATGTCTCTGGATCTATTTTGTTTATCAGTTTATTTTGAATACATTTTAATGAAAATAATCTCTAGTCTTTTAACATGTTCTTTCAATATTATCTAAATATTGGCTAAGAATTTTGTACCCAGGAATGGAAAAACATGTGTTTTATGTTCTTAGTTCTGAAATGGTGGATAAACAAATAGAAACAATGTACCTGTCTTTTAAAAAAAAAATTGATTTGAGAGAGAGAGAGGAAAGGGAAGGGATAGAAACATCGATGAGAGAGAAACATCGATTGGCTGCAGGCATGTGTGGAGTAGAGCTGGCGACCTCTTGGTTCATGGGTCAACACTCACCCTCTGAGCAACACCAGCTGGGCTGTACTGTCTTTTGGATTGTGTCCTGAATGTAGTCTTGCTCATCTTTGTGCTTGGGCTTCTAGCACAGTATCGGGCTCAGGGCAGGCATTTAATTTTTAATCAACAAACATAGTGCTGCTATGAGTCAAGCAGTTTGAAATGTTTCCAAAATATTAACATTTCATCCTTATAATAACCCTAACGAAGGAGAAACAGGTGTCATACTTATGTCATAGGTGAATAAACTGAGGCTCAGAGAAATAAACAACATGCCTAAGGTCTCACAGGGAGTAAGGGAGCTGGGATTCAACGGAGACAGCCTGGCTCTGGTATCCCTGTTCTCAGTCACTCCGCTCCACTGCCTCTCATCAATGTTGAATGAAGACATGATCACTGAATTTATCCATAAGGAATGCTCTCGTAACTTAGTCATTAATTTCTTTTGTCTTACAACCTTCAATAAATGCTTACTATGTGTTTAGCATTCTGAAAGACACTTTGGAGAAATACAGAACTACAAGGAATTTATAATTTTGTTAGAGAGGACACACCCACAAATAAAATAAACATTACAGAGTATATTTTGCCCTAGTAGCAGCTCCCAAATAGATGTTAAAGGAATTCAGAAGGAAAAAACAGGTATATAAGATGAAGGGCCACATGGCAGACAGACCCTAGGCGGCCTCAGGATTTCTGCCCCTGCTGTTCACACCCCGGATAACCAATCCCCTCCTTCGAGTGTGGGCAGCACCTGTGACTTGGGTGTAGCCACCCTTTACCCCACTCAGGGTAGGTGTGGAGTCAAAGGACTATGCTTGATGTTTTAGCCCTGTTGCACTGGATATTCCATTTTTCCCTCCAAGTGTAATTATAATGCAACCGCTAGGAGGCAGTACCTACTTCACAGGTAGAAAACCAGGACTCAAGAGTATAGATGCCTACTGGGGGACCACTTTGTACAGCATATGATTGTTTCACCACTATTTTGTACCCCTGAAACTAATACAAAATAATATTGACTGTAAACTGTAATTGAAAAAAAATGTCTTAAAGTTTATCTAAACCAATATCATACTACCAGTAAGTGAAGGCTGGATTCGAATTCGGATATCACATCAAAGCCAGAGATTTTCTCGCTGCATATTTAACTCATACATATTTTCCAGCGGAGAGTAAAATTAATAACTAGGGGCGAGAACAGGGACCAACCAACAGCTCTGCAGGTGCCCAAAGAGAAAGGGAATCCGAGGCCAGGCGCAAGCCGCTGCTCTCCCTGCCTCCAGCAGAGGGCGCCAGAGCGCAGGTTCGGGGCGGGGGGCTGCCAGGTGTGCGCAGGCGCAGGCGCAGGCGCAGGCGCGCGCCACCCGGCTCGCTCCGGGCGCTGGGACGGTGTGGGCGGGTCACGCAGACCGCGCAGCCAGAAGCGGCGGCGGCTGTGTCCCGGGGGCTGCGCGCTGGAGCCGGCTCCGGGCTCTGGCTAAGCGAAGCGCCGCGCAGTGCTGAGCTCGCCGCCCGCCACGGAGCCATGGAGATTGGCACCGAGATCAGCCGCAAGATCCGGGTGAGGCCCGCGGCGGGCCGGGGCGGGAAGCCGGGCCTCGGCGGGCGCGCGGTTGTCAGGAGTAACGGGGTGGTGGGCCCGGCCTGGACGCTGCGGCCTGGTCGCCGGCTAGCGGCGCCTCCTCGGGCCTGGGGGCTGACTCGGCCCCGGGAGTGCGCGGGCAAACGGGCCGCGGGGAAGCGGAAGGAGGCGTAGGTGGCCGGTGAGAGCCGTGCTCCGCCGCACCGGGAGGGACCACGGGGAAGGGGGAGGGGCGGGGAAGGGGATGGGGGGGGACGGACGTGGGAGGCGGCCGCGGCAGGGGGCCGGGGGGACCGGCTGGGGCCCGGGCCGGGCCGGGGCCGGGTCGGGGCCGCGGCGCCCCCCGCCTCCCCCGGGCGCCCGGGAGGGCTGGAGGTGCGTGCACCCGCACAGTCGCGTCTGCGTTGCAAGTCGGTTTTCCTAGGGCCGCCTTTCTCTCACGGACGTTTTGTCTTTTTTCCCCCCCTCCACCTCAGAGTGCCATTAAGGGGAAATTGCAAGAACTAGGAGCTTATGTTGGTAAGTTCTGTTGCTTTTGTTATCCTAATGCCATTTAGAGTTTGCAGCTGTTGGAGTTTTAGTGAGTGCATTTTCCCAACGTACTTTCTTTTGACTTTGAAGAAACTCCTTTTCTGCTATCTAACCCTCTTCTACTGTGGTGTTTTGAAATTGTTTAGCTTCCTCTGTGGAGGCATTGTCGTATTTTTATTGTTTTTCCTATCTTTTTTTTTTTGCTTTCCTTGACCTCCATTTTTTTCACAATTATTTTGCATGTGGGATGTTTGATGCTTTCTGGCATTTGCCTCTGCCGTGGTTCAGTGAGTTTTATTTTCAGGTCTCTTATTTATTTTTATTTTTTCTGTTCCTTTCGCTTTTACCTCCTACCAGCAATGTATCCTCGTTGTTCTTTTGTGATTTTTATAACTTGAGCATTTACTTTGGGCCAGGCACTGTGCTTAACCCCTGTGTGTGTGCGTTAGGCCATGGTAATCCTCAGGGGGACACTGGAAGGTAAGTGGTAATATCCCCAACTGTACAGGCAAGGAAACTGAGGCTTGGAGTGCTTACTTGAGCAAGATTGAGACCTGGGTCTGTTTGGCTGCAAAGCTGGTGCCTCCTGTGCAAATAATAGCTATCACTTAGGAAGGTGGTTCTCAAGGTGTGGAAGACTCCAAGGGTCTCTGAAGTCAAAACTGTTTTTATATTAATACTGACATTTGGATTGTGCAAAAGCAGTAGTGGGCAAAACTTCTGGTACTTGACCCTGAATCAAGAAATCAAGGTCTCACACCAAACGTTCGGGGAAACCTTCATATTCTTTACGTGCAGTTCTCTACTTGCAATTTTTAAAAAAAGCCCTTTTGCCCTAGCCAGTTTGGGTCATTGGATAGAGCGTCGGCCTGTGGACTGAAGGGTCCGGGTTCGATTCCGGTCAAGGGCATGTACCTTGGTTGCGGGCACATCCCCAGTGGGAGGTGTGCAGGAGGCAGCTCATCGATGTTTCTCTCATCGATGTTTCTAACTATCCCTCTCTCTTCCTCTCTGTAAAAAGTCAATACAAAAATATAAAAAGCCCTCTTAATGTAATTGATGAAGCAGTAAAAATATATTTTTAAAATCCTGGCCCTTGATTACATTATTTAATATGCAGAGAGGAAGAAGGAAATAGTTATAAATATATGCTTAAAAGTACTGTACAAACCTACAAAGTATTTCTGGTGTACGCTGAAGCATGATGGGTTGTCTTAAAAAAAAAAGGATTTGTGTAATTGAGTTGAGAACTGAACTAGCCACCTTTTTCATGGAGCATCATTTTTAAATTATAAGGACTGACAAGCTAGTCACATACACGTGAGTAGTTGCCAAGATATTTCCTTGGAAGTGAGTAGAGGAAAAGAACTGATTTTGCTGCCAATGACAAAACAAAAGTTGGTTTGAGGGGGCGGGGCAGGGCATGCAGGAGGCAGCGGATTGATGTTCTCTTCGTTGATGTTTTTATCTCTTTATCCCTCTTGCTTTCTCTCTCAAAATCAGTAAAAAATATTTTTTAAAAAAAGGCTAGGATGGATTAATGGATTTTCATGTAACAGTACAAAAAAAGGTTATTGATGCAGTTTTTGTTTGCATATTGCTACTAACCCTTAAGAAACTATCACTTGTTGAATTTTGGTGTGGTATCACAAAATAATATTCACATTATCTGCAAAGGCTATTAAAATACTTGTTTTTCAAACTACACGTGAAAGACCAAATTTTCTTCACATTCTTCAATTATAACAACATGTTACAACAGGTGAAATGCAGAAACAGAAATTAGAATCCAGCTGTCTTTTAAACCAGATGTTAAAGAGAGTAATAAAAATATAACTTATTTTGCTCTAACCAGTTTGGCTCAGTGGATAGCGTGTCGGCCTGCGGACTGAAAGGTCCCAGGTTCGATTCCGGTCAAGGGCATGTACCTTGGTTGTGGGCACATCACCAGTAGGAGGTGTGCAGGAGGCAGCTGATCGATGTTTCTCTCTCATCGATGCTTTTAACTCTCTATCCCTCTCCCTTCCTCTCTGTAAAAAATGAATAAAATATATTTAAAAAATATATAATTTATTTTATATTTTTGTACTAATTCTTTTCTTTTGGAATTTTTAAAAATAAAAACATCTGTTTATTTAAGTGGATTTATTATTAACAGTAGATAGGTCTACTTTAAATGAATTAATGCTGCTTAAAGTTTTAAATTTTAATTTCTAGTATAGTAAATATCAATAGATATACTCACATAAATGAAACTTCTTTGGGGGTCATCAGTAGTTTTTAAGAGTGTAAAGGGTGTCTGAAATCAGATAGTTGGAGGATTGCTAATTTACTACATGCTGGGCACATTGCATAAATTATCTGTTGTTGGGACTTTAACAGATAAGAAAATGAGGCTTAAAGGTTAAAGATGAAGGTGAACCAGGATTTATTTATTTTATTCATCACTTGATGGATGCGAGTTATATGCCAGGAACATGTTTTGGGTTAAAAAGAAGTCCACAAAAAATGTACATTGAGAACTTTTTTTAAAATTAATTTTATTGATTTTAGAGAGAGGGGGAGAGAGAGCAAGAGAGAGGAAGAAGCATCGACCCATTGTTCTACCCATCTTCGCATTCATTGGTAGTTCTTGTATGTGCCTTGACCTGGGATCAAACTTGAAAGCTTGGTGTATTGGATGACGCTCTAACCAACTAGCTCCCCAGCTATGCATCCAGGGCCTGAGAACTTTCTTAATTCTAGCATATGAAAGCACGGGCATGTTAACAGTCTTATTGGTGATTCCTATCATTTATGAAAAGCTCAAACCAAGAATTTTGACCCTATTAAAAACCTCACAAGCTTGGGCAAAGTTCAGTATAAAATGTAATTGTAGTAAAAATACCATGTATTTTATTTATAGCTTTCAAAGTGCATTTATATAGCTCCGTTTATTTTAAACATGATGCTGGAGTGGGGTGGCAGGTAGTATTACTCCTTTTACAAGTAAAGAAATGGAGTCTTGACTTCGTAATAGGAACTTGGTGAGCTACTGAACAGGTAGTAGTTACTCCTGTATGCTCCACTATAACTCCACTGAAATAAATCTGTCTTGGCAATTAACATAATACAGCTTCTCAATTCATTTGTTTCTGCTTGACCGAAAGTTTCTTTGAGGGTAGAGACTTCGTATTTGTTTTGTCTCAGTGGCCTACAGAGAACCTGATTTTTTCATAAGTGTTGAAGTGAGTAAACGCGTCACCATGACGTTCTGTTTGAGATGAAAATGCATTACTTGTTTACAATTAGCTACCAAATTATTTGTGCATTATTATTCTTCTGAAAAGGGTGACTTTAGAATCCCTTTCTTTGTGCTGGAGAAAGTTCTGGAAACCTCTCAGGTTATTGAAATGATCCTTTAATAAATATTTGACAGAATAGTCATGGGGGTGTCACACACAGCTTAGGGAATATAGTCAATAATCCTATCTAATAATAGACAAAGATTCAAATTGACCGTACCTTCGCTATGCCCACCATTGGCTAATCAGAGTGATATGCAAATTAACCACCAACAAAGATGGCGGTTAATTTGCATACATAGGCGTGAAGCGGCAGAGTGAAGACTGAAGGCGGCTCCGGCCAGAGCAGCGAAGGGCTTGAAGGCGGCTCCGGCCGGAGCAGCGAAGGCTTGAAGGTGACCCGGGCAGGAGCGAAGGCCTGGGTGCTGGGTGCCGGAGGAAAACCGGTGCCGGCAGCCAGGGGAAGGGAAGGCCTATTGCATGAACCTTTTCATGCAAAAGGCCTCGAGTATTATAATAACTATATATGGTGTCAGATGGGTACTAAATTTATTGGAGTGATCACTCATAAGTTATATAAATGTCTAATCATGGGGTTGTAAACCAGCAATTACCATTTAAAAATAAAAAGTACTTTAAAGCCGAAACCGGTTTGGCTCAGTGGATAGAGCGTCGGCCTGCGGATTGAAAGGTCCCAGGTTCGATTCCGGTCAAGGGCATGTACCTGGGTTGCGGGCACATCCCCCAGTGGGAGATGTGCAGGAGGCAGCTGATTGATGTTCCTCTCTCATCGATGTTTCTAACTCTCTCTCTCTCTCCCTTCCTCTCTGTGAAAAATCAATAAAATATATTTAAAAAAAAAAAAAAAAGTACTTTAAAAAGTAAACATTTGACTACGTATTTTCAAGGCATTGGGCAGGATGCAAAGGTGAACGGCCCTTTTGGTTAAGAACGATAAGGTCTCATTTGACTGTTTAAAATGGAGCACTTCAGTGAGACCACAACTATAATTTAAAACAGTATTTCATTCACATTTTAAAGATATGAACTTACAGAAACCTTCAGAATTTTTAGTTTTTTTATTCAGTATGTAGATTTTAAATGAACTTGTGAAATTCTGTAAAAATGTATCATGAGCACATTAATTTTTCATTATTTTCTTGTATCTAAGAAAACTACAAATTTCTAATAGCTATGTTGAGCTATAGTTGCTATACATTAAACTGCACATCTGTACAGTTCGGTAAGTCATAGCATATGTGCACTATAATCAAGCGAATGAGCATATCCATCACTCCCAACAGTTCTTGGGGCAGCTCTGTATCTTTCCCTCCACTTTTCCCTGCTCACACCCTGTATTCACCCAGGCAACTACTTATTACATTTCTATAAAATTTTAGAAAATGCAATGTCATATTGTGACAGAAAGCACAGTCTACTCGTTTTCATCACTGACATGAGGGAGAGAAACTGCCAAAGCATTCCAGTTTCTTTACCTCTCCTGGGTTACCAGTGGCAGTGCATAGTAGGTACACTTCGTATAAATAAGCTACCAGGGTTATTTACTAAAGTTTTGAGAAAGCAGTGGGGGCCTTTTGTTACTCTACAAGGAAAATAATAAATGACTGGCTACTTGTCCTTGTATCTCCTCAGATGATGTATGATTCCGATAAACCTGATTTCGCTCCATTTGTAGATTGGGCTTTCTCAATATAGTTGTGCTTTTCTTGAACTGGATTTTTTATATTTCTCCTTTTAACAAATGTCTGGTAGTACTCCTGAAAGGAACCTTTCTGCTTACATAGAAATATTATGAGTATTTAAGGTATTAAATAATTATTTTTGGTAGGGATTAGAGTTCCTGGTAAATGACTTCTGTACCTTCTCATTATGGTGGTTTTTGTTTTTGTTGATTTTGATCCTTGATCTCACCCTCATAATCAGTGTGTAGGAGGGTATTAGTATAAAATAATGAGTTGAAATTATTTAATCTTAAGATGGAATTTTAAAATGATGTAGGGTTTTTTAGTGGTTTTAGTTTATTTGATGTTGCTGCATGGTTGTTACCCTGAGTAATTGAAACCTGACTTTACTAAGGATAAAGGTGTCCTCTTGAGAAATGAGTGTCATTTTGAAACAGACACTAATCTAACCAAAACTCAGTTTGGTGGATGTCCATATGCTTTCTGGAAACTTCTCTGAAATTATCATTTTTAAAACAATGGAAATGTATGTACTCCAGTTGGATACTGTAATTTCAAATATCTAGTTTTGTAAGTATTCATTATTCCAAATCCCATCCTTCTAGTAATTGAAATACCTATAGAATGAAGAGAAAAAAAGCTATACCTTTTTTTAAACATAATTCCTTTAGAGCTGAAATATTCTTAGAGCTACATCTATATTTTCAAGCATGTCAACTTTAAATAGAGGGAAACATAAAAGAGTTTTTATATACTTTTCCTTTTAAATAGATGAAGAACTTCCTGATTACATTATGGTGATGGTGGCCAACAAGAAAAGTCAGGACCAAATGACAGAGGACCTGTCCCTGTTTCTAGGGAACAACACAATTCGATTCACCGTATGGTATGTTTCTGAACACTTATCCCTTAGACCAGTGGTTCTCAACCTTCCTAATGCCGCGACCCTTTAATACAGTTCCTCATGTTGTGGTGACCCAACCATAAAATTATTTTCGTTGCTACTTCATAACTGTAATTTTGCTACTGTTATGAATTGTAATGTAAATATCTGATATGCAGGATGTATTTTCATTGTTACAAATTGAACATAGTTAAAGCATAGTGATTAGTCACAAAAACAATCTGTAATTATATATGTGTTTTCTGATGGTCTTAGGCGACCCCTGTGAAAGGGTCGTTCGACCCCCAAAGGGGTCGTGACCCACTGGTTGAGAACCGCTGCCTTAGACCAGAGTTTGGCACAAGCCAGAGTAGGTATTCTTTCTGAAAAGAGACTCCCGATAGGAGAGTCAGATTCAGTGTGGAGAGGCAGGTTGTGAGCAATGAGCACAGCTGCTGGAGCCAGTTGCCAAGGTTGAATCCTGATCTGCCTCTTGCCTTGGTTTCTCCATTTGTAAAATGTGAATAGTAAATCACCTTTATAGGATCCTTGTGAAAGGGTTAAGTGAGCTAACACATGTAATGTGCTCACAGCTGTGTCTAGCCTGTGCAGGTACTTCGTATATGTTAACTGTAGTTACTGTGTTTCTCTTGTAAATGTCCGCATCTTACTCCTTTCCTCTAGCCTAAACCAGCTGCAGGCGTTCTTTTGGACTGGGTTGACTTCCTAAATTGCTTTCTCTGAGTTAATTCTGAGGGGGCAAGGATTTTGACAGAACTTCAAATTAATTTTTTAAAAGTTTAGAACTTTTTGAAGTTTGGAATTTTAAGATAGGCAACTTGATGTTCAAATATAAGTCAATATAATCTTCAATGTCCTTTTTCAAACCACATAGGCCTTTAGTTAAAACTCCTGACTAGAAGCACAAGATTAAATTTTAAGAAGTCAGGTCAGGTTCTGGTACTGGGTTTGAGGTAAACTGAGAGTGCTGATGTGGATGAGAATAGAGCAGGAAGTACTCAAGGCTCCTCACACTGGAGACCACCAGTTACAGCACAGTGGATGATGGAGCAGAAAGTGAGTGAGGAGAATGGCCTGCTTAGTTTGAATGGCAAGAGACTGGAACAGGGAATACTCACTCCTAAGTATAATACTAAGGAGGAATATGAAGAAGCTGGTTCACTTTCTGCCTTTAAACCAAAAGTTTGTCTTGAAGGTGATTTTGCCCCAGCAGGTAAATGAATGCTTTACAACTCTTTTGAAGCTTTCTTGAAATTCCACACAGAATTGTCTAGTTTGTATTACAGTTTGGAAGAACATGGAGTACAGTGGTTGATCCTCAAATGTTTTGGTACATAGTGTGTGTGACCTAACCCACTTGTTTACAGTTTGTCCCCAAAATGTACCCTCTCTACCTCCCAAAAAAGATCAACATGTTTTGCCTGGGGAAATCACCATTATCATGAGCGCTTTTTTTAAAGTCTTCAGCAGTCCAGGTATTTGTTTCATGTACATTTTTATGACCTGACTTCTGGTTTAACTTTTGGATCACTTTAGTTTTGAGTCCCTCAAAATTAATATAGGAGATTGACCTAGTGGATTATTTCTCAGATAACTTGATGGAATGTGTTAAGACAGATTTCTTACTGCTAATAAACATACTGCTAATTGAATTTGAATTTAAAATCAAATTAATTCAACTTTTTCACCTTGCCGTAAGTTCAGTTCTTTAACATGTACTGACGCAAGTGATAGTGTCTGTCATTCGGCACTTTACTTTCCTAAGCTAAATGTTCATTGACAAAGGTCCCAAATTATTCTTTGGAGCCCTGCAGTAGTTGTTTCCTAGGTAACAGTGGCATATGACTGGGTTCTGGGTGAAACATACTGAGCTATTTCTGGTGTTTCAGGAGGCATGGCCTCTTAGAAGGATTGTAAGGCCAATTTGCCATGTACATAGCTACTAAAATAAAATAGGTTATATTATAAGCAGGGTTATGGTCTGTGCTTGTTTACAGCATTCATTTTGTAAATAACAGATCAGTGAAATGTGATAGTATATTTTGAGATTAAGTTTTCTTACCTCAGAATTAAGGTTTTTTCCCCCAGAAACCATATGAGTAGATAAAACTAATTTAAATAATGCCTCAACAATTGTAATAGTAAGATGTAGTACATGTGTCGGATATTTTATCTTTTACCGTCAGTTACCTTGCATCTTTGGTCCTTAGGAAACAAAATGCATCCTTTTAGATAAGACTGTGTGCTCAGACTATATTCTGGCACTTATTTTTGCAGAGGTTAGATGTTGAAAATAGTGATGAAAAAAATGATTTTTTGATTGGCTCTTGTAGTATTCATGTAAAGCCTTTTTAAAATGTGAAGCTTAATACCATTTATCTATTAAATACCATTTAATATCATTTATCAATATTTATCTGAAGATTGATTCCACAATGTCATCAAATTTAGAGTGGCAGTTGAAATAAAATCTTTCTTGATTAAAGGAAGCTTTAAATTTTTTTTGTTTTTTCTTTTAGGCTTCATGGTGTATTAGATAAACTTCGTTCTGTTACAACAGGTAAGATTCATAAAAAAGGGCTTTTTGGGGAATTTGCTATAGCATACGATTGCTTTCTTTCTAAGGGAAAGAACACATAAATTTGGCAACATTCATTTGAACATTTTTAGGAAGCATTTATTGTTACGAATTTAAGAGCAAGACATTTAATATAATTCAAAGATAATTTAAATAAGGGAAGGGAACTAAGCAATTTAACCTAAGGAAGTAATTATAGAAGTGTGCAACAGTTCAGTTTCAAGAATGTTTCAGTATTTTATAATTGAAAATTACTTAAAAGTTCAGTACATAATAGTAAATTATGTATGGAATAATATTGAGCCATTAAAAATGTTGTGAAGATGAATAACTTTTAAATTGGTGATGAACAAGGGGAAGGATCAAAGTAATGAAATAGTGTAAAAGGATTATGTTTTTCTTTCCAGACCCCTCTAGTCTAAAGTCTTCTGATACCAACATATTCGATAGTAACGTGCCTTCCAACAAGAGCAGCTTCAGTAGGGGCGATGAGAGAAGGCACGAAGCTGCAGTGCCACCCCTTGCAGTTTCTAGCACGAGAGCTGAGAAAAGAGATTCCAGAGTTTCTTCAAGTTCACAGGAGCAGAAAGCCACTAATGTCAGGTAAGAGCTCTGTGTAGATCACCTGTGAACAGATGGGAGTATATGTGACATTTACATTAGTTCTCATATCTTCGAATTGCTTTTTTCAGAAAATTTTGGAAATAGTGAGGTAGGTGGTCATGAGCAATTTTTTAAATAAAATAAAGAGTGGATAAGACCAAAGTATGATTATCTTAAATATAGTAAAGTTTAAAACAAAAAAGCCATTTCAAAGTAGTTTCTAATGGACTACATAAAGGGAATATTCATTCTTTTTCATTACAATTTAAGTAAATATTCTTTGACTATTTGAACATATTCCTCTAAATTGGTTGTAATATGTTTGAGTATGTGTTTAATAGGCAGAGTTATGATGATGGAGCTGCAACCCGATTAATGTCAACAGTGAAACCTCTAAGGGAGCCAGCACCCTCTGAAGATGTGATTGATATTAAGCCGGAACCAGACGACCTCATTGATGAAGACCTCAATTTTGTGCAGGAGAATCCCTTATCTCAGAAAAAACCCACAGTGACACTCACATATGGCTCTTCTCGCCCTTCTATTGAAATTTATCGACCACCTGCAAGTCGAACTGCAGATGGTGGTGTTCATTTAAACAGGTTGCAGTTTCAACAGCAGCAAAACAGTATTCATGCTGCCAAGCAGCTTGATATACAGAACAGCCGGGTATATGAAACGGGACGTTTGTGTGAGCCAGAAGTGCTTAACAGCTTAGAAGAGACTTACAGTCCTTTTTTCAGAAACAACGCAGAGAAAATGAGTATTGAGGTTTGTATGTACTTGTGAATCTTGCCTTGTTAGGCTGAAAATTGGCAGTTCTTTATACTAAATAGTATGTGACATAACTAAATACATACATATTGCTTGTTTATTTTAAACTGATTTCTGTGTGCTCAATATAGCATACCAATCAGATTTTCCTCTCCATGACTGACTTCTACAAGTGTATATTACACCTTGTTTACTTTCATGGGATGCCAAAATGTGAGATAGTTTTAACAATACCTTATAGTTTTGGTGGGATTTTAGGTCAATTTTAAATTTTTCATGTCATTTACTGGAAAAGAAGTAACCATTTTGTTAGTTTTCTCAACAGTGCTATTTGCTGCTGCATATAAATGAATGTAAAGCACTAGTTTTTGTTTTTGTTAAAGATTGGCTATTAGGGATAATATTCATATTTTTATAAGAAACCGGAAATAGCCCATAAATTATTAACATGATTGGCTTTTTCTTAAAGAGAAAAAATTCTGTGGTAGAACTTTGTTATTTTCTGAGACTAGGTAAGCATGAATTTATCTGATTACAGGAAGAAAACTTTCGGAAGAGAAAGTTGCCTGTGGTAAGTTCAGTTGTTAAAGTAAAAAAGTTTAATCACGATGGAGAAGAGGAGGAGGAAGATGATGATTGTGGGTCCCGCGCAGGAAGCATCTCCAGCAGTGTGTCAGTGCCTGCAAAACCCGAAAGGAGGTACCTGAACATGTTTGTAACTTAATCTTGAATTGCTTGGTGGTGCCTTCTGTGTTTCTTGAAGAGGATATCATAAAAATAAAAATTTAATAGCATATAAGACTTTTCCATTGGTTTTTGAATAAACCATATTAATGAAAGAAAAACTTAAAATTGGAGAAATTGCTGAGAATATTAAAAACTAATATGGGTGGGAAGTTGATTGGATTCATTATTTTAAAAAGTTATAAGGTTTCAGTCTACTTGGCATTTCCTAGAAACTACGGCTAGTCTGTTCAAACCTAAGAGAATGTCCTGGGCCGGTGGCTCAGTTGGGTGGATTGTCCTGTACACTAAAAAGGTAATGGCTTTGATTACTAGTCAGGGCATGTGTCTAGGTTGTGGGTTCGATCTCCAGGTAGGGTGCATGCGGGAGGCAACAGATTGATATTTCTCTCCCCCACCCTCCACCCCTTCCTCTCTAAAATCAGTAAAAACATATCCTCGGGTGGCACAAAAAACTTGAGGCTATAGTAAAGGCATAGTGGCTAGCACATAAAGAATTCAAATCTATAATTAAAATGTTTTCTTTTTTAGACCCTCACTTCCTCCTTCTAAACAAGCTAATAAGAACCTAATTTTGAAGGCTATATCTGAAGCTCAAGAATCTGTAACAAAAACAACTAACTATTCTACAGGTAATTTAAATGAATTATGTTTTCATTAAGTAAGAGATTTCTGTAACTCTTGAGTAAGCTAGAAATGATGATCCCCAAGCTGTGGTGAAATAAAGAACTCTACCCAATGTCAAGACCAAGGTGCAGTTCAGAAGAATGGGTTTAAACGGAGATTAGGCCAGTTTGAGAAACTTTCCCAACTGTCAGTGGAATTTATTTCTTTGAGCAACTGTCATGTCTTTTACTCCCTCTTTCCAGTGTGTGTGAAATAGATAATAAATATAAATTATTACATGTTTTAAAGCAAAGGAGATGAGTCAACTATAATCTGATCATACAAAAAGCTCATTCTGAAATGCAAACCATATCATGGATGTCATGTCATTAAATTCTGTACTCTGTGCCCCACATGCTAGAGTTGGGTGTGAAATTTCATTCATAAGTTGTAATGATTACTCACTTTAAATTTTATTTTATTTTTGCTGCCTATTTGATGATGATTCTTTTAGAGCTGTTCTGCTTTTTCATATTTCTTTTTGCTACCCCTTCCTAGAGTGAAGGAAACTATAAGCTTACTTTTGATCCTGATAGTCATCTGTCTCCCTGCTTCTCCTCTTTTAACCTCAAAACATGAAATTGAACAGGTTTTGTCATATAGGATAAGGATTCTCAGGCAAACTGAACAGTTCTTTTATTTACACTCCCATTTTGTCACAATAGTGTTTAAAATGATGAGTGTAGAATTGTACTCATTTGTGAACTTGAAATTTTTTTGCTTTTATAATAGTTGGATATTGCCCAAGTTTTGTTTTGTTTTTTCTTTTTTCTTGAGAAATAGCATTGAAATTCTTTCTTTACCTACTTTATCTAAATTACAATTTGAGGTTGTTAATGGGATCACAAAGTAGAACAGTGATGGCGAACCTATGACACACGTGTCAGAGGTGACATGTGAACTCATTTTTTTGGTTGATTTTTCTTTGTTAAATGGCATTTAAATAAATAAAATAAATATCAAAAATATAAATCTTTGTTTTACTATGGTTGCAAATATCAAAAAATTTCTTTATGTGACACGGCACCAGAGTTAAGTTAGGGTTTTTCAAAATGCTGACACGCTGAGCTCAAAAGGTTCGCCATCACTGAAGCAGAACCTAAATTCCATTTGGTTAAAATGAATATATATGTGCTTCAGTGTATATATGGCATGTGGTTTAACCCCTAGTGTGCTGGGGAGCGCAGTTGCGCTCCTCCTGTCTTTCGCCAAAAGTACCGGGAGCGCTATCAAAGCTTCGAAATGGCATCCAGTTCTAAATCTGCTCATATTAGTGATGGTGATATTGCTAAATATGTCAGTGTAGTAAAGGTTTCCTTAAGTTTTTGAACATGTAACTTCATTTACTTGTGATTCATAATTTTTTTCCTAAACTGCTGTAAAATCAGCAAAAATGCCTTGGCAATTTTAGCATAGTTCCTAGGATATTGGTTGGCACTCAAAAGGTTAAAATGTGTAGATGCTGTTTATACACATAGAGGTATTTAAGTCAGGTTATCTATCCCTTGAGAATATTGTAAGAAAAAATGAGGTGATATCTATGAACTGTTTAAAACTCCTCATGTTCTAAAGTAAAGGAGGCATTTATGTTTAATATGACTATTGAGTTTGATGTATTACTACATTTGCATTTCCATCTTTTTTGCTTTTTATATAAAAGTCTCGCAGAAACAGACACTTCCAGTTGCTCCCAGAACTCGAACTTCTCAAGAAGAATTGCTGGCAGAAATGGTCCAGGGGCAAAGCAGGACCTCTAGAATAAGTCCCCCCATTAAAGAAGATGAAGCAAAAGGAGATAATGTAGAGAAAGGTCAAGGTAATAATTTAAACGATACTTCATCCTCTATTACACTTTTTTCATGAGGCATTACATATTTTCCAGTGGGTGTTTATGAAATGTTATATTATGAGAAAAGTGCTCACTAGCCCAAAAATAGAATAAGAAGGGACCATGAGGAATCTATATTAACATATTTCAGAGTTTTAAAAACCTTTTTATCAGGGAAATTTTTAATGTTCTCAAAGGGGAAAGAATAGTGCAATGAATTTCCATAAACTCAGTCATCCAGCTTTAGTATTATCAATATTTTGCTGGTCTTTAGAATGTCAATTTAAAGATACATAGATATCTACATTAAAGCTTTCCTTCTTTTTGTTAATTCTACTCGAATTTGAAATCTTATCTTTAAATCTCCCTTTTCTGAGCATCCTCTCTGTCTCTGACCTGCTAGATGCCTTATGTCTTAGTGGCCCTATTTTATCCCCTTGTGCCTGACAAACTACAGTTAGCTTCCAGCTGATCTTTCTGTTTCCTTTCTCTTAGCTCCCATCCCCGACTCCTGCACTAACACTCTCCATCTAAAGTATGACTTAATGTGACTTCTTTGTCAGAGCATTTATAGTGTGTGAGTCCCGCACACATACCTCCCAGGGCATGGCCCAGGACTGATGCCATCAACTTGGCCTTTCGACAGCTTCCTTGTCTGGCCGCTGGGTCTGCCCAGCCCTTCCCCCACTGCTTTCCACTGTTTCTTCTTGTCCCCATTAGGAAATATTCTAGTTTCTTCTTTTTCTGTGATTTGAATTTTAAAATCCCACCAAAACTGTATGCTCATCATGTTGTTTCTAACTTACACTTTGCTAAGACTGGAATATGTTTATTACTCCTCTTCAACTGTATCCTTGAAGTAGTTCCAGGTTCATTTCAGTTTTACTTGTTTCATGAAGCTTTGTGAGTTTATCCTATATTTGTTTCTTTGTTCTCTCTTTAAAAAAAAGATCTTTGTATTGTACAATTTTCCATGTGAAGGTTATTTACAGTTCCAATAAGTGATGGACCTGAGCGCAGGAAAACCCCAAGCCAGCCAGTAGGTAGTAACTGGGAAGTGTGAGTGAGCCAGTTTGTGGAGAGCAACTGGGTTTGAGCTTCAGTAGAAATAGCAAAGGCAGTAGATTGAATGAAGCCCACGATTTCATGATGATATTTTTAACTTTTTTTTTACGATGATTATTTTAAGAAGTAGACCCTAATTCAGTGATGGCGAACCTATGACACGCGTGTTAGAGGTGACACGCAAACTCATTTTTTTGGTTGATTTTTCTTTGTTAAATGGCATTTAAATGTATAAAATAAATATCAAAAATATAAGTTTTTGTTTTGCTATGGTTGCAAATATCAAAAAATTTCTATATGTGTTGCCAAAACCGGTTTGGCTCAGTGGATAGAGCGTCGGTCTGCGGACTGAAAGGTCCCAGATTTGATTCCGGTCAGGGGCATGTACCTTGGTTGAGGGCATATCCCCAGTAGGAGATGTGCAGGAGGCAGCTGATCGATGTTTCTCTCTCATCGATGTTTCTAACTCTATCTCTCTCCCTTCCTCTCTGTAAAAAATCAATAAAATATATTTAAAAAAAAAAAAAAATTTCTGTATGTGACACGGCACCAGAGTTAAGTTAGGGTTTTTCAAAATGCTGACAAGCCGAGCTCAAAAGGTTCGCTATTGCTGCCCTAATTGATCACTTTCTGGAAAATAATAGATTCTAAACCAAATAAATAATTGAGCATTTCTACTGTCTTTCCTTTAAGAATGGTGCCACTGGGTAGCAAAGTGGTACAGGAGTTAGCTCATATTTTTGTAATATAAGGTTTTCTTGGAACCACCATGCTTATTCATTTATATACTAGAAGCCCAGTGCACAACATTTGTGCACTGGAGGGGGGGTGCCCTCAGCCTGGCCTGCACCCTCTTGCAGTCCGGGACCCCTTGGGGGATGTCCGTCTGCCTGCCCTTGGGGAGCAGGCCTAAGCTGGCAGGTGGACATCCCCCGAGGGGTCCTTAGTGCTGCTAGGGAGGCGGGAGGGGCTCCCACCACCTCCGCTGCACTCGCCAGCTATAAGCTCCGCTTCTGGCTGAGCAGTGCTCCGCCTATAGGAGTGCACAGACCACCAGGGGGTGGCTCCTGCATCGAGAGTCTGCCCCCTGGTGTTCAGTGCATGTCATAGCAACCAGTCATTCCACTGTTTGGTTGATTTGCATATTGGCCTTTTATTATATAGGATTGTTTCTGGCTGCTTTTGTTCTATAACCATAGAGTTGAATAGTTGCAACAGACCATGTAACCCACATAACCTAAAATAGAAGAAGTTTGCCAACCCTTCATATAGATGACGGAAGCATCTTATGAAATCATTCTAGCTAATAAAGTCAAAACCAGCCATTTTGTACCTCCTGATGAAAGAATAAAATTCTACCTTAGTCTTGCCAGAGTGATCAAGTCTCTGATACAGCAGTCAGCTTGAAGGAAGTGCAGAGGCCAAAACATGTTGGCTGAGCTACCCCATGTATGTATAGCAGGCAAAGTATAGTTTCTGGGAGTTATATAGGTCAAAAAGCCAAGAATTCTAGATTAAAAGTCTTTTTTTTTTTTTAAATTAATTAATTAATTAATTAATTTTTTTTTTATTTTATTTTTTTTTATTGCTTAAAGCATTACAAAGAGTATTACATATGTCTCCTTTTTTCCCCCGCCCTTGACAATCCCCTGGCCTCCCCTCCCCCCCAGTGTCTTATGTCCATTGGTTATGCTTATATGCATGCATACAAGTCCTTTGGTTGATCTCTTACCCACCCCCCTCCTGCCCTCCCACCCTCCCCGGCCTTCCTGCTGTAGTTTGACAGTCTGTTCGAGGCAGCTCTGCCTCTGTATATTAAAAGTCTTAAAAGACAAAATAAAGGTGGCAAAGTTAAGCTCTAGTGCAGTGGTTCTCAACCTTCTGGCCCTTTCAATATAGTTCCTCATGTTGTAACCCAACCATAAAATTACTTTAGTTGCTACTTCATAACTGTAATGTTGCTACTGTTATGAATCGTAATGTAAATATCTGATATGCAGGATGGTCTTAGGCGACCCCTGTGAAAGGGTCGTTTGACCGCCAAAGGGGTTGCGACCCACAGGTTGAGAACCCGCTGCTCTAGTGTCTAGACTAGAGCTTGTGTGATAAAACCATAAACAAAACAGTATTACTATGAAAGGCAATAGTGATTACTTTTGGAGAGGACTTACTAGGATGGAGCTTGTAAGGGGGCTTCTGGGGTGGCTGACATAGCTACTTCCTTGACCTAGAAGACAGTTGTAAGGATGTCTCTGCCTTATGAAAATGATTGAGCTGTTACTTGTTTTGTGTGGTTTTCTATATCATTGTTTTTTTTGTTTGTTTTTTTTTTTGTTTTTTTTTTAAATATATTTTACTGATTTTTTACAGAGAGGAAGGGAGAGAGAGATAGAGAGTTAGAAACATCGACGGGAGAGAAACATTGATCAGCTGCCTCCCGCACATCTCCCACTGGGGATGTGCCCGCAACCCAGGTACATGCCCCTGACCGGAATCGAACCTGGGACCTTTCAGTCCGCAGGCCGATGCTCTATCCACTGAGCCAAACCGGTTTCGGCCATTGTTTTGTTTTAAAGTGAGACAATAGAAGTGATATCAAGGACCTCTACTGATGGAGGACTATTACTACTCTTACTGGATTCTTACTGTGCTTTTTTTAAAAAAATATATTTTATTGATTTTTTTACAGAGGAAGGGAGAGGGATAGAGAGCTAGAAATATCGATGAGAGAGAACCATCGATGAGAGAGAATCATCGATCAGCCGCCTCCTGCACACTCTCTTTTGGGGATGTGCTCGCAACCAAGGTACATTCCCTTGACTGAACTCGAACCTGGGACCCTTGAGTCCGCAGGCCAGTGCTCCATCCACTGAGCCAAACCGGCTAGGGCATTACTGTGCATTTTTAAGCATGTGCAGCAAAAGTTCACTCTTTTTGGACAACTGAGCCTGTGTCTAGTCCCACTGTGTTTGGCTTGGATACACCCTACCAGCTCCACCAGTGTAACAACAGAATGGCACACATTGCTTCTGTGAAGTGTCAGCCTTCAGATACATGGTTGCTCTTCGGCTATGCATACTCTTGTTGGGTTTCATGAGTGTTCTTCAAATGAAATGAAGATTTGAACCTCTTGATTTGCAAGATTTTGTGAGATTTTCTGGTCAAGTGAATAGTGAGCAATTTTCAGAGGTCACTTCAGGATGCTTTTATTAGAATTATTGATGTAGTTGGACTAGTTTCTATCTTTGTATTTGCTTGCTTTTGTTGTTCCTCGTCTTTTTCCTTTACTCATTAATTACTATGGTTATTGTTGATTATCCAGCTCTACTACCTCCCCCCCCACTAATTTAAATTTAAACATTCCATTTCTGTTCTTTTAGTGGTGAATTTTATCAAGCAAGTTTAATTGAATATTCCAAAAGTTAATATTCTGACCCTATTCTCAAATAGTAAACGAACTTTAGTATACCTTGGCACTAGTCTTTACCCTCCTGACTTATGTTATGTTTGGTCTTTTTAAAAATGCATAAATTGAGCACCATTATCTTATTTTACCCAGGCAGTATTTGCTTAGATATACCAATGTTTATCATTTTTAATTTTCATATCTCTTGAATGTTATTTGGGGATCATTTTCTAATTTTTTGAAGTATATTCTTTGGAAGTTTCTTTAGAACAGGTCTACTGGTGGTAAATTTCCCAAGAGCCTGTTTACCTATAAACATTTTTTTTCTCTTTGTTCTTAGGCAGTAGTTTTGCTGGATACCCATATCTAGGTTAACAATAGTCATTTGCTCTTAGCACCTTGTATATCTTATTCCACTGTCTTCTGGCTTCCATTGTTGTTGAGTGGACATCTGTTATTCTAATTGTCTGTTGTTCCTTTGTAGGTGATCTGTCCTTTCTCTGGCTGCTTTCAAGAT